TCCCGCGCCTCGCTCAGCCAGTGAGCGGGAGCCGGTCTGTATGTGGGATCCGAACCCTCGGACGGGAGCGCCGCCACGCTTCCCAAGCGGCGCACTATCCAGTGCGCCACCGGGCCGGCCCCGAGTCTGGGGAGAGTTTAAGTTGTAGCCCTACCTTACTACTGTCTCCAAAATCACATATTTCAAAGACCTAAGTATAAAAAAGAGAAAGATCATAAAAGTTCTGGATGAAGGCATGATTATTACTTTTCTAATAAAATGGAGTGGGGAAAGGCTTTCAAGGTGTGACAGAATCTGAAAGTCAAAGGCAAAGATTTGATAAATTTGTCTATATATTTTAAGTTTCTGCATGGTAGAAAAATACCAAGTGCAGAGTCAATTTACAAATGGAAAGTGGGAAAACAATTTCAAGAGACTGAGAAACTTGAGAAAAAGGGGCTAATTTTCTTACTATGAAAAGAGCTTTTTATAAATCAAGATAACCTAATAGAAAAACAATCAAAGGATATGAACAGGATGTTTACAGTAAAAGAAACACAAATGGCCATTAAAGATATGAAACAATACTTAGCCTTTTTAATAATTAAAGAGATATACTAATACCACAGATTTTATCTATCAGAATAACACAGATGAAAAGATTAATGATCCTTAAAATTGCTGAGTACACGAGGAAACTTACATATGCTCTCATAAGTCTATTCTGAGAGGTGCAAATTTGTTGCAACATTTTTTGAAGGGGTAGCATAATTTGGCAGTATCTAACTAAAATTGAAATGAGTGTTCCCTTTTCACCCAACATTTCCACTTATAGGAACTACAGATATACAGATAAAGTTGAACAACAGAGGGGCAGTTAGAGGTTATGACACTCCCTCTTCCCCCTCTTCCCCCTCTCTCCCTCTCCCTGCTGCACCCCAGCACCCTGTGGGGGTCATTACTTAAATAGTAGTTAAATACCTAATTACAGATAGTCTACTATTGGATAAGCTATTTAACTGTCATTCATGACATACCTAACCAAAAATTTTCCAGTATTTTTATTTGAAAAAATCTGTGTAAGTGGACCCACACTGTTTTAGTCCATTTGTATTGCTATAACAGAAATACCTGAAGCTGGGTAATTTATAAAGAACAGAGGTTTATTTGGCTTATGATTCTGGCACAGCTGCATCTGGTGCGGGCCTCAGGCTGCTTCTACTCATGGCAGAAAACGGCAGGCAGCCAGCAGGGACAAGCAGGTCACATGGTGAGAGGAAGGGAGAGAGAGGGAGGGGAGGTGCCAGGGTCTTTTAAACAACCAGCTCTTGTGGGAACTAATAATAGAGCGAGAACTCACTCACTACCCCCCGTCCCCCAGGGAGAGCATTAATCCATTCATGAGGGATCCGCCCCCATGATTCAAACAGCTTCCAACACTGTCACATTGCAGGTCAGATTTCCACGTGAGTTTTGAGACAACACATCCAAACTCTGTCACATGCAGTTTAGGTCATGTTGTTCAAGGATTTGCTATAAAATTATACACATATACACACATACAAGGATGTTTACTGCAGCATGCTGTGGAAGAATAAACAATTGGAAACAACCTAAATATCTAGTTAAGTTATGGTATATCAAATCAGTTAATATAAAATATTTGTATATGCATAAAATTTATCTTTGAACAAATATTTTTGCACTACATGGCAGGAATTTAAATGAACATACAAAAACACTTGTTTAGTAATGGTTATATCACTGGAAAGTGGGACTAGGAGGTTCAGGGTCCTTTAATTTTCACCTTAAATTCTTCTGCATTATTTGGATATTTTGCATGTTTAACTTTAATTTTTAAAAAGCATTGAATCATACTTTCAGCGTACTTTGATATATTTGGGGGAAATTTTGCAAATGCTTGGTATAAAATCTTATTTTCGGAAGATGTGACCTTTACTTTTAATGAAGGACCATGAAATGGTGATTATCTAATCCCAGTGTTCTGTAGAGCCCTTTATACTTAAGGAATTCAGCTTACTCGTTTTCTACTATTCCCTATATGTATTCAGTCCCAAGTCAGTGGGACTGTACAGATTTAAAATATTGATATTGGAAAACAAGCATATTTTAGAGTAATGTTATCTATTTCTCTATTGTTTTACTTACTGCTTTTTTTTTTAAGGTATTCTACATAGTCCTTCAAAGTTTCACTTCTTTTATCCTGTTGCCAAGGTATTCTTCTGAAATGCAGCCATAATTATATTACTCTCTTGCTCAAAATGGTATACTGGGTCTTCGTTTTCTTTAAGAATAAAATCTAAAAGTTCCTGGCCTAGTGTTCTGGGCTCTGCAGAATTTGACCCCAAATAACCTTTCCTACCTTATTTTCCTCTACTTTATAAATTGTGTAAGCCACACAGACTGTATCTTTACACTCTTCCTTATTTGCTGAGTGTTTTCCTATTTTTATGCCTTTGCTTATGCTATTTGATGAAGAGACTTTACTGATTTAAAATACCGATAAGGGGCGGGGAGTAAAGGGGGAGGCCAGCAAGGTTGAAGTATAGTTTTCAAGAAGATTGGTACACAATGAGGTAGGAAAGTTATATAGTACTTTTATACCTTGTTTAGGAGTCTGGGTTTTGTTCTAGGTATAAGAGAAAGTCACTGTAAATTGCTATAAACAGAAAATGACAGATCCAATTTACATTTTTGAAAGGTTATTCTGACTAATATTTGAAGAATAGATTGGAAAAGGACAAGAAAGGACAGGAAACCTATTAGAGACAGGTAGTATTGTGAGAGAAAATAGAAGTGGACAGATTTATGATTGTTTAGTGAGGGATTAATGTCAGGAACAGGAAGGTGAGGGAGATGTAAGTACAATAATAACTCCCAGATTTTGGTTTGGGCAGTAGGTGGATGTGCCATTTACAGAGTTGTAGAAGATTCAGAGAGATACAGTTCTAGAGGAGGTTAGAATAGAGTTCAGATAGTGACATTTACAATTTGAGATGGTGGTGACATCCAAGTGAATATATCAAGTATATTGTTGAGTATGTGAACCAGGAGCTCAACAGAGAAGTCATAGCTCAGAATGTAAATTTGAAAGTAGTTAACAGCATGAAGGTGATACTAAAAGCCACAGGGAGAGATGAGTTCACTTAGTAAGAGAATATAGAATGGAATTGGCCATACATGGAGGTTATTGATCATATTAGCAAGAACAGTTTTAGTCCAGAAGTGTGGCTGCACTCTGGAGTATTTTGACGAGCGAGTAAGGGTAGGGAAAGAGGTAAAGAAAAGGAAAATAGGTATTTTCCACTTTGGAATCTTGGCTGTGAATAGTAACAGAGAAATGGGCTGATATACTAAATGATGCTTTCAGTCTATTGGAAATGATCTAGTAAAGAGGGAGAGCCTGAAGGTATGAGAGAGATGATAGGGAAAGGAAACAAGGTCTTGAAAGGAAGATGAATTGGACTCCAGAGCACCATTGAAGGGACTTGCCTTTAAAAAAGGAGGAGTGGTTTTTGCCTCTGTATCCAAAAAGGTTGTAGAGGCAAGTGGGTTAGCATGGGTGGCCGTAGGATTGCCTTGGGGTATTTGTATGCAGTGATCCCTCTGACCAGAAATTCTATTTTTTTGGTGTTCCCCCCCATCCCCCTTTGCCTTAGCTCTTATTTTTACTTCACCTTTCAACCTTCTCTAACTACCTTTTATCATTTAAATTATTCTTGTCGCCTTGTTTTTGTCCTTTATAACCCTTAATACAATTTATAATTATATATTTGTTTGCATGTATTTGTTTAATGCAGGAGCTGCAATCTCAAGAACATGCAGAAACTAAGAAAAACCTCCCAATTTTTAAATACTGCTAGATAATTCTAAAATTTTATAGAGTCTTTACATAAGTTAGGTATAAAAACAATTCCCAGGTATTCATCCCATTATACTCTGTGGAAATCCATAGGTATTTAATGAAAACTCTGGTCACCAATAATCTATAGTGTGGGTGAAAAGGATCCCATAGTTTCATCTATGTATCTTTGTTTCTGCCTGTGACTTGGAACTTCAAAAAAGTGTATTGACCCCATATTAGACTTAATAATTAGGGTTTATGTTGCATCTTAGTCTGTTCCTGCTGCTATATCAAAATACCACTAGTTAGTTTATAAATAATAGAAATTTATTTTTCACATTTCTGGAGGCTGGGAAGTCCAACGTCAGGTGTTGGCAGATTCATTGTCTGGTGAGGGCTGCTCTCTGCTTCATAGATTATGACTTGTTGTTGCATCTTCTCAGGGAGGATGGGATGAAGATTGTTCTCACATGGCAGAAGGCAGAAAAGTGCCAAATAGGCTCCTTTGAGTCCCTTTTATAAAGGCACTAATCTCATTCATGAAAGTGGAACCCTGGTGACCTAATCACCTACTAAAGGCCTCACCTCTTAATACTGTTGCATTGGGGATTAAGTTTCAACATGAATTTTGGAGGCGCACAAGCATTCAAACCACAGCAGATTGTGCCTGTTTTGATATATAGAGTAAGGTTGTCAAAAAGTGAATATAGAAGGTAGTAAATTTTATGTTATGTGTACTTTACCACAATAAAAAATGTTGGGGGGGGGAGTGAAGATGATGCACAGAAAAGGAATTTTAGAAGGCTCTAAAACATGGGGTTTTTTTTATTTCACCCATCTAATTCCTGATGATGAAAATGGAGTCTCAGGTTTCTTAGCTGAAAATGGGGTTACCAGTACCTATCTCTCAGTTTTACTAGCAGGATTATTTTTTTTTTTAAAGTAAATATAGAGTACGTATCATAACCCTCCACACACAGCAGATGATAAATATATATGATAGCTACTCTTATGATCTGGAGAGCTAAAGTGCCTTCCTCGAGGTCACTTTGCTGGTCAGTGCAGAGTCTAGTGAAGAATCAAGGTCTCATGACACAGAGTCTCTTCAACTCTTACCATGCAATTCTTTCAAAATCTTTTTTTTTTTCCTTTTCAGAGTCCGAATGTCATTCAGAATTTGAAAATACTACCCATTCTGTCTTCAGGTCAGCCAAGTTTTACATTCATCATCCAGTGCATCTACCAAGTGATCAAGACTTTTGCCATGAATCTTTGGGAAAAAATGTTTTCACGAGGCATTCTTGGAAAGATTTCTTTCAGCATCATTCTGAAAAACATAGAGAACACACTTCTATTCCTCCCCCTTATCAAAATATGGACAAGACTAAGATAGATTATACCAGAATAAAGAGCCTAAGCATCAATGTGAATTTAGGAAACAAAGAAGTGATGCACACTACTAAAAGTCAGGCTACAGAGTATCCAAAATATAACAAACAAATTAATGATCCAAAAAGGGATCATAAGGTCACCCCAGAGCTAACAACTCAGCACACTAAAAGTTTGAATGAACTCTGGAACAAGTACCAGGAGCGACAGAGGCAACACAAGCCACCTGAGTTCAGTGACAGTAAAGAACCATCCTTGGTAGAGCGACTTGACCGTTTGGCTAAACTTCTTCGGAGTCCCATCACACATACTCTTCAAGCCTCAGAAAGTACACACGATGATAGCAGAGGGGAACAAGATATTAAGGAATGGAGTGGTAGACTGCAGCATCAGAAAAACAAGCTTCAGAAAAAGAAGCGGTATAAAAATCTAGAGAAAAGCCACAAAAACATGGATGTTAAAAGAAACAAAGTGCTTTCTCATCAAGCTAGGAGGTCCAATCAGATTAAAATTGAACAGATTAAATTTGACAAATATATTCTGAGTAAACAGCCAGGTTTCAATCATGTAAGCAACACTTCTTCAGATTCTAGACCCTCAGAGGAGAGTGAACTGCTCACAGATACTCCCACCAACATCCTTTCCACTACCACTTCTCCTATGGAATCAGATATATTGACCCAAACCGATAGAGATATGGCTTTGCATGAAAGGAGTAGCTCTATTTCTACCATAGACACTGCTCGATTGATCCAAGCTTTTGGCCATGAAAGAGTATGTTTGTCACCCAGGCGAATTAAATTATATAGCAGCATCACCAACCAACAGAGAAGTTACCTTGAGAAGCGGAACAAGCACAGTAAGAAAGCATTGTATATGGGTCATCCTCAAATGACTTCTGAGCACACCAGAAGGAGACACATCCAGGTACATGGCTACAAATTCCATCTGGCAATGTGACTGCCTTTCTCATGGACTTTTTATTTAAGCTTTGCACACAGGTGAAAAAAACAAAGCAATTTGCCCTTTCCTCACTATAACATTTCTTACCAACTAGAAAAGAGTGAGAAAGTATAGTACAGTACTATTGTGAGTTGTCATTCTTTTCATCAACACTCATGTACAAATTAACCTTTGGATGAAGGGCTTTGCTGCTAGATGCTTCAGAATCTGCATACCCCTGCCATAGGGGAGGTTCAAGTTTAGATGACCTCTGTTCTGACCAGTATTGCCTGGTTTTTGTTTGTTTGGGATTTTATTTTGTTTTTTATTCATTCCTCCCTGTCTTTCAAGAAATATTTCAGGTGCTTGTAAACACACATACACATGTAAATAATACAATATGGTTTTTTAAAAAGGTAAATGAAAAATTGGAATGATAGAAAAATTGAAGCTGAGGTGAGCTACAGCATGATTTAAAAAAAAACAAACGAATTGTGAGCGATGGAAAGACAGATTGAAGCCAGGAGGGAGGTAAATATACCTTGTGGATATGGTTGCTACAAGTGAGCTACAAATTTGTCTTTATGTTTTCTGGCACCTCGTGTTGCTAGAATTTTGTGATCAATTACATTAGTCTGCAATATAAAAGCAAACCAAATTTTCAAATGCATTACAGGTATTTCTGGTACAAAAACCAAAGAGAAATTTCTTTCATCTGTCTTCATAAGGAATGTACCACACATTGTGTTATAATACAGTTGAATTTTGTGGTTTTATTCTCATTTTAGATTATAATATGTATTCCTTTATGGCATGAGTTTGCCGTTATTAAACACAATATTATCATTAACAAACAACAAAAAAAGAAGGTACCACAATGTAACATAGTCTTCCACAATATCCTTACAATAGATTTTGTACAATGCCCATAAGACTATTATCACATTCCTTTGTTTAGGGAGTAAAGGCAGATCTTGACGTACAACAAATACAAATCATTGCTTTAACCTAAGAGTAAAATTTAGAGTATCTAGAGAAGTGCTCTCCAAAGAGAAATGCTTGCAAAATAGTTCATTGGAATATGGGAAGAAAAATATTAAAATTTATATTTATTTTTCTCAGCCCTTTAAAATTTATATTTTTGTATATGTTTTATAATATATGAGTATGGTAGTGATATTATTTATAAATAAATATCTATTTTGGCAATTTGTGCCCAAAAATAGTTTGTTGGTAGAATTGCTTGATCAAAAAAATTTGGAGACCACTGATCTAGAGAAAAGGAGGCATGAGATGTTCAGACAATCTACCATAAATATTATTTCTCATAATTGAGCTTTTAGTAGTCATTAAATGACAATGATTACATATATAAGTAATACAGTATGATTTTTTTAAAAAGTGAGTGAAGAATTGAGATTGACACAGATTAAGGCTTTTTGTTCCATAGAGGAAATGTAGGAGATGTGTGTGTGTGTGTGTGTGTGTGTGTGTGTGTGTGTGTGTGTGTGTGTGTGTTAGAATGTATGTAACATAAAGTTTATAGTTTTGACCATTAAGCAGTGACTTCTTATTCCCCCTCCCAACCAGCCCCTGGCAACCAATAATCAACTTTCTGTCACTGGATTTACCAATTCTGGTTATTTTATAGAAATGGAATCATATAATATGCAACATTTGTGTCAGGCTTCTTTCACACTGGCATAATATTTTCAAGGTACATCAATGTCATAGCATGTATCAGTACAGGTTGTCCCCTATCAATGGGGGGTTGGTTCCAGGACCAACTCCTCCCCCACCACCATGGATACCAAAATCCACAGATGCTCATGTTCCCTGATGTAAAATGGTGTAGGTTTGCATATTACCTACACACATCCTCCCATACACTTCAGATCATCTCTAGATTACTTATAATACCTAACACAATGTAAATGTTATGTAAATAGTTGTTAGGCTGATTTTTTCAATCTGTATTTTGGTTTTTTTTAATATTTTTGATTTGCAGTTGCTTGGATCCACAGATGCAGAACCCATGGATACAGAGGACCAACTGTACTTTATTGCTTTTTGTGGCTGAATAATATTCCATTGCATATGTTTACTACATTTTGTTTATCTGTACATCCATTGATGTGCATTTGGGTTGTTTCCACCTTTTGGCTATTGTGAATAGAGCTGATATAGAACACTAGTGTGCAAGTTTTTGTTTAAACACCTGTATGCTTTTTTTTTTTTGATGTATGACTAGGAGTGGAAATACTGGGTCACTTGTAATTCTGTATTTAAATTATTGAGGAATCACGTGTCAATAGTGGCTGCACTATTTTACATTCCTACCAGCAGTTCACAAGGGTTTCAATTTCATGATGTCCTTGCCAACACTTTATATATATATACACACTAGCCATCCTCTTGGATGTGAGGTGGTATCTCATAGTAATTTTGATTTACATTTCCCTAATGATTAGTCATGTTAAGCATGTTTTTATGTGTGTATTAGCCATTTGTATATCTTCTTTGGAGAAATGTCTTTTCAAGTCCTTTGACCCTTTTAAATGTTTGTTTTTGTTATTATTATTAAGTTGTAGGAATTTTCTATATATTCTGGATATTAACCCCCATCAGATATTCTGCAAATATTTTATCCCATTCTGTAGGTTGCCTCTTTCACAATCACTCTGTTAACTGTGTTCATTGACAAACAGAGTTTTTCATTTTTCATGTAGTCCAATCTATCTATTTTTTGTTCCCTGTGCTATTGGTGTCATGTCCAAGAAATCATTGCCAAATCCAATGTCTTGAAGGTTTTCTTTTATGTTTTCTTTTAGGAGTTTTATAATTTTAGCTTTTATACTTAGGTCTTTGAAACATTTTGAGTTCATTTTTGTATATGGTGTAAGGTAAAGGTCCACCTTCAGTCTTTTACATATGGATATTTAGTTTTCACAACACCATTTGTTGAAAAGACTGTCTTATTCCCATTAAATGTTCTTGGCACTCTTGTCAAAAATCATTTGACAAGAGGTTTATATCTCTTACAAGGTTTATATGAGGTTTATATCTGAGCTATCTGTTCTTCTCCATTGGTCTATATGCCTGTCTTCATGCCAGTACCACACTGTTTTGGTTTACTGTATCTTTGTAGTAAGTTTTGAAAGCAGGAGGGGTGAGACTTGCAAATTTGCTCTTTTTTCAAGAGTGTTTTGATTAGTCAGGGTCGCTTGAGATTCTATAACAATTTTAGTAAATGTTTTATTAGTTTTGATGCTATTAGAAGTGCAGTTGTGGGTCGGCCCTGTGGCCCACTCAGGAGAGTGCGGTGCTGATAGCGCCAACGCTGTGGATTCGGATCCTATATAGGGATGGCCGGTTAGCTCACTGGCTGAGCATGGTGCAAACAACACCAAGCCAAGGATTGCGATCCCCTTACCAGTCAAAAAAAACCCAAAAAAACAAAGTGCAGTTGCTTTCTTAATTTCACTTTTGGATGATTCATTACTAGTGTATATATACATAACTAATTTTTGCATGTTGATCTTGTATCCTGCACTTTGGCTGAATTTATTTATTAACTCTAACAGTCTTCTTGTGGATTCTTTAGGATTTTTTGTATATAAGATCATGTCATCTGCAAATAGAGATAATCTTACACCCTCCTTTCCAATTTGGATTCTTTTTATTTCTTTTTCCTAATTACTCTGAACAGAACTTCTAGTGGAGTACTGAATATAAGTGGCAAAAGCAAGCATTCTTGTTTATCATCTCAGTAGGAAAGTTCTCAGTCTTTACCATTGAGACTGATTTTAGCGGAATTTTTCAAGTATGACCTTTATCATGTTGAGGAAGTACACTTCTTTTTCCATTTTGACAAATGTTTTTATCATGAAAGGGTTTTGATTTTTGCCAAATGTGTTGGCAGCTATTGAGATGATCACCTAGGTTTTTCCTCTTTTATTCTATTAATATGCTGTAAATTTATTGATAATTATATATTGAACCAACTTCCCATTCCTTGAACAAATCCCACTTGATCATGTTGTATAATCCTTTTCATATGCTGCTGGATTTAGTTTACTAGGATTTCTTTTTTATTTTTTTTTTTTAAAGATGACCAGTAAGGGGATCTTAACCCTTGATTTAGTGGTGTCAGCACCATGCTCACCCAGTGAGCCAACTGGCCATCCCTACATGGGATCCGAACCCATGGCCTTAGTGTTATCAGCACCACACTCTCCCGAGTGAGCCACGGGCTGACCATAGTTTACTAGAATTTCGAAGAGGACTTTTTCATCTTTATTCATAAGGAATATTGGTCTGAAGTTTTCTTCTGATGTCTTTGTCTGCCTTTGGTATCAGGATTATACTGGCCTCACAGAAAGAGTTAAAAGTTTTCCCTCCTCTTCAGTTTTTTGATAATGAGTTTGGGAAGTATTGATGTTGATGATTGATTTTAATTCTTTAAAGATTTGATAGAATTCATCAATGAAGCTATCTGGTCATGTGTTTTTCTTTGGAGAATTTTTTTTTAACTGATTCGATCTCTTGGTGTAAGTTTATTCAGATTTTTTATTTCTTCTTGAGCCAGTTTTTGTAGTTGCATTTCTAGGAATTTGTTCATCTCTATTTTTTCTAGTCTCTGTTTTGTTTATCTCTACTATAATCTTCATTATTTCCTTTGCTTGGTTTGGGTTTAGTTTGCTCTTCTTTTTCTTTTTCTTTTTCTTTTTTTTTAATATAAACATGACTGATAAGGGGATCTTAACCCTTGACTTAGTGTTTTTCTTTCCTTTTTTTTTTTAATATAAAGATGACTGATAAGGGGATCTTAACCCTTGACTTGGTGTTATCAGCACCACGCTCACCCAGTGTGAGGCACGGGCAAGCCCCTTGCTCTTCTTTTTCTAATTCCTTATGGCTTAAAGTTAAGGATATTTGATTTGAGATTTTTCTTTTCTTGTTTTGTTTTTCGTGACCACAGCAAT